ACCTCCTATTCTTCGTTCTTCTTTTTCTTTTGTCTGCCGGCGATGCTCACCGCTGCCGTGTGGGGTCGCGCCGTTCTGAAATCCCTATTCTGCCGGTGTGCCGACGCGCTTCTGCGTTGCCTTCCTCTTTTTTTTCCGCTACTTCTCCTCCCGCACACACGCAGAAGGAAAGAGACCAAACTCTGCTCGTTGCCGCCGTGCGCTTTGAAGGCTCCGAGCTCTCACACTGCACAAACACACAACCGTCGCGGCCTGGGCGGATCCACCGCAAGGAGGGAAGGGAAGAGAGAGAGATTGACCCAACATGCCCCGGCATCTGTTTTCCTCTGCTGCGCTGCCGCTGCTCCTCCTCTGCGCGCTGCTGATGTGCGGCGGCGGCTGGACTGTGCTCGCTGAGGCGGAGGTGGCTGGCCCGAGCCCAGGGACAGCAGAGGCCCCTTGTGGGGCACCGCCAGCTGCGTTTCCGACGCCGTCCGCCCCCTCGTTCACCGCCCCGTCGCTTGTCGAGGTGAGTGGCGGGCTTGTCGCCATCGCGCAAGCCATCAGCGGCGGCGCGACAGCTGTGCTGGCGAAGCGCATTGCGTCTGCCGCATCGACTGAGCTCTGGACGGTGGCTGCCGCCACTGAGGTCGCCGCACCCGCACAAGACGCCGTCAGCACACCGGGGAATAATGAGGTGTCTTTCCTCTCCAGCCCCACTCCGGTTGTAAAGGACGGCAGGATCTACCTTTTTGTTCACGGTGCGCGTGAGTCTCAGGGGGCCGTGGGGGGCGCCGCCCAGATGTACCCCTACCTTCTCGTTGGGGCAGTTACAGAGGCGGCGGGGAGCGAGGAGCCGAAGCAGAAAACCCTCAGTAGGAGCGCCCCCAACTGGACCTCTGGCCTCAGCCCGCCGATTGAGGAGAGATTCGTGGCGTTTTCTCTCGGCGGAGGCGCGGGGGTTGTGACGGCGGACGGCACGCTTGTCTTCCCGGTGCAGGCCACAAAGAGAAAGGCGACGGGGGACACAGCTGGAAAAACCGTCTCGCTGGTCTTGTACTCCAGCGACCCTGAGAAGGGGAGTTGGCGGCTGTCGGCGGGGACGTCTGCGGAGGGCTGCGGTACTCCCTCCGTCGTGGCGTGGGAGGACAACAAACTGTTCATGATGGCCGCGTGCGAGGACGGCCGCCGCAGAGTTTACGAGTCGGATAATAAAGGGGAGACGTGGACGGAGGCGCTCGCGACGCTCTCGCGCGTGTGGGGCAATGCACCTGCATCTGCTGGGCCCCACGTTCAGAGCGGCTTTGTCACTGCGACGATTGAGGGAAGGAGAGTGCTGCTCGTTTCCCTGCCGGTGCATTCGGAGAAAGAGCCAAACAAAAAGGGCCAACTCCACCTTTGGGTCGCCGATACCGCCCACGTTGCCCCGAAGAGAGGACGGCGGCGGTATTCATCGATTACGCCAGAGCCTTTGACTCCGTGGATCATGGCTGCATCATGCAAGCACTACAGTCTTTTGGTATCTCTCCGGTTCTCCAACGGTGGATTGGCTCTTTTCTGGGTGGCCGAACTGCACGAGTGCGTGTCAACAACACCTACTCCAGGGATGTGAAGCTCACATGTGGTGTTCCTCAGGGTTCTGTACTAGGCCCACTGCTCTTCATCATAGCGATAGACTCCTTAAGTGTGCGACTCAATGCAATTCCCAATCTCGCACATGGTTTCTTTGCGGATGATCTAACGCTGATTTGTCGACACTCGGACCGAGCATATATTCAGTACGTGTTGCAAGAAGGCTTAGACTGCACCTCGAAGTGGTCCGAAGAGAACTTCATGGAGGTGTCGGTAGAGAAGACGCAGTACACCTTCTTTG